AAAAGACAATCTTTTGGGTGATTAAAAATGATGACAGAATTCAAATAAATGTAATTACTTAATTAGTAATTTTCTTCATGAAAACCATAATCAATTCAACACAAATCACTTCAGACCTTTTCATGTCTTTTTAATAAGGATAATAAAATTCTGTAAGTGAACAGACTTACTCAAGTGACCTACATTTGCCACCTCTTTTGTGTAGGTCTGCTTGTTGCCTTTCCTCCTGATATTCACATGCACAGCCTTTGGTTTCCTCTCTGCTTATGTAACCTACATTGTCTTGATATGATCTAGTGGTTGATTTACAATCAAAGATAGTTTGACTTGTCTGTTTTTCAGAGCACTATTATGACTGCTTTAAAAATTGTATTTTTATTTTTATATATTATTGGGAAAAAATACCTTACCTTTTACCAACCTGTTTACAGGGGGTAAAGGGGACATGGTGATGAGAAAAAAAATGAGATGGGAGTAAAAATTATATTTAAATGCTTTTGCGTTCTCAAAACTTTTGTGTTCCCCTGAGAACTCAAAGTTTCTCAGGGGAACACAATAGTTTTGCGAGAGAATGCAAATGTTTAGCAAGCAAACCCAACGTTTCCCACTTTTCAACACTTTTGAGAGAGATGCAAATGCAAAAGGACAGTTACAGCGCGCCTTTCCTTCTCTGCAAGCAGCTCCTTATAGTTCCTGACAGAAATGTCAGCGAAGTTCATGATGTGTAAATGTAGAGAATTCATCAAGGTCAGTCTCCAGTGCTTCTTATAGTTGACACCCATAATATATTTGTCACAGACTTGTCACATTATCAGTGTACTTGTCTGTAAGTTCAACATAGCAAATTACTGGCGTGAATAGAAGCAGGTGTCAGTCTGACTGACGTATAACTCTAAAGAGAACAGCTAATGATTGTCCAAATAATCGAATATGGGCCTCTGGTGGCGTGTGGAGATAAGGGTGTTACATAGCAGGTTTAATTGGTGTCATGGCACCATGGATCTGTCAGGTCACCTGGATCAAGTGTCAGTGGGTGAAAAATAGGTCAAAGATAATGATGAAGTCAAAGAGAATAAGAGTCTTAGAAGAGTCACGGTCTTATGACAATGTCTACGTTTACAGGCAACTAAATAATCCGTTAATAATCGGATTGACGGCTTAATTGGACTGAAAAGCCTTCATTTAAACACCTCAATCCAAATTAAATTTCGATCGGATTGGAAGGGGTGGTTTATTCCCTTTTTTAATCCAATTGGTTTAGGACATCTGAAAGTACTGCGCATGTGCAATGACGTAGAAATTTCATAATGACGTATGACGCGTGGAACGAGCTGTTGTAGTTGTTGAATCGACTTGTCTTTCTAAATTTTTCCTACCTCTCATCATCTGTGAAGTGGAGCAGGACATCGTCCCACCAGTCCTTCTTTCATACTCATCCACAGGCGGCTGGTTTTGGGCGCTGGTAGGGGCATTTTTACTGCTTGATAAATATAAGCACAACGGTTCATATGCTCATTGTCTTCTAATTAGATAATATTTAGACAATAGATAATATTAAAGGTGGGGTATGTGATTTGGAAAACAACCGGCAGATTTTGAAAATATACAATTCAAATGGTCCTACCAGCGAAAACTCAGATGCGCGAGAGATTGTAATGACGATTTACTGCTAATCATGGAACCGGCTTTACTGACGAGATGCGCATGCGTCACAAACTTTGAGTATGCGCACTACGGGGGTCACGCGCGCTGGGGCGAGGGGGGTGTGGTACAACCGTTTGATTGATGGACTTACTGTCCAATGATTCTGGTGGTCTTGGAAATGATTGGCTGGAGTTTTTCGAGTCCTGCCCGTTCCACAGATGATTAAATTGCTTAATTTTCATTTCAGTGCTTCTAACTCAGTGGCTGTAAGTGGGTTAGGAATAGGATTTCAAGTTATTTTGAAAAAAATTACAAAAAAGAGAATCACATACCCCACCTTTAAGTCTGCTGTTTAAAACAAAGAAAGCAGCAATGTAGGAGAATACTATAGACAGCGGAAAACTCAATATTAGTCAGTGTGCGGTGCGCATGTCAAAAAATCAGTTCAGATTTGAAGCTTGTGACATATAAATCAACCCGATCACTTAATTTGGCGTTCATGTAAACACTACATTCAGATTCATCAATCGCAATAAATGAATTCTGACTAAAACAAAAGTTCTCCATGTAAACATAGCCATTGAGACGTAATAAAAGATGTCTCTTGTTTAGAGATGTTCCCTGGAAAACTTTCTGAAGTTATACTAATGTGACTGCCTCAAGAACAAAGTTTAGATGAGATCTGCACTCCCCGCATAAAGGAGAAGGATATCAAGAAGGAGATCAGGCATCCACATCACATCTGACTATATTTCACCCTCCATTCAATTGACCCTTCGCTAAGCCATGCCCGAAAACCGCCACTGGCCAATCGTGGCTTAGCAACCGTAACTAGGCGCGGGAGGTCTGTCAAGCTTTCGAGCGAGGGAAACATGCCGACGCGTTGTGCGTATGGATTGTGCAAATCTGATACCTGGTATTCTAAAAGTTTGGACAGTGGGGTGGCATTTTTTCTCTTCCCGAAACCTAAAAGCCAAAGGGGAGAAATCCCGGGCGTGGATCAAGCAGTGTGGGAGACCCATTCACAACTAAATGTCGACAGGATTAACAAAAAAACAAACAAACAAAAAAACGCCTATTGCTTGGAAATAATGGCGGTTCTTTGTTCATAATGCATATATTTGAACGTAAAATAAGACGATTAAAGGCAAGACGGAGGCTCACTGACATACTTTAAAATATATTTCAGCATTTTGTTAATCGACGGCCTATAACGTTACCCCTGTAACTTTACCCCAATCCGATCGCGGCTCTCCCGGTGTTAGATTGATGGATAAACTGTTTGATTTGTAATTATTAGATTATCTTCACATTTCACTTACTCTGCTGTGCATGAACATAGCTGTTCAATTTGTGTGTTTCCCATTTGAATGGTCTGCTAAGGAGGCGGCTGCTGCTTGCACTGGGACCTAACGTTACAGACTTTAGCTTCAATTTTGATGAAATTATTCTCTAATCGGTTGCATATTATGTCGTGGATATATCCCTCGAATGCATACTGCTGTACCTTTTGTCTTGCTCTCTCAGATATTTCACTTGTTCGCCAAAAATGACTAAATATCTCCTTGGGAATGTCTGACACCGGTGCATTCACACTGTAATAGACGTGGCAGCCGCGAAAGCTTGACAGGCGTAGCAACAGTAACTAAGGAGGGCGGGGCTTAGCGAAGGGTCAATTCTGAATGTCTTCACAAAGCTAAGCTAAGTTTTCCTTTTCATGCTCATTGCTTAAAAGCTATCAGGTTATTGGCAGCTTGCTTGTTGCATAAGTCTATCTGGGTATCGGTAACATGATTTTCATTGTTATCTGCACCATGTTGCGAACACACTGTACTAAGCTTATCTGGGTATCAGCATCGTGTTTGTTCTTTAAGCTTATAGTGTAACTCATGGCATTCTACTTGTTGCTTTAGACTTACCTGGTTATCATTGCCAACATGCCATGCTTAAGCATATTTTGATATCAGCAACATGCTGGTTCTTTGAAGTTATATAGTTATTGAAACATGCTTGTTGCTTTAGGCTTATCTGGTTATTGCCAACATGCTGTCCTAAGCTTACTCTGGTACCAGCAACCACGCTTTTCTGGTTAATATTGGCAATATGCTTGTTTAAGTCATCTGGGTAGGGGCGTACTTCTGGCCACCCCTGTTGTACATTTTGACGGTTTTAACAGCTGACTTTTTAAATAGCTATGACACTGGCACAAAGCAAAGGCAATGTACATACTCCAGCTGAACTAAGTTGTCACTTCACCTATCAATATAGAAAAAAATAACAAGCCCAAAGATGGCTATATTAAGTGGAAATGGCAACGCTGCAAATGCACGCTTGGGGAAGCTGCTTTACGAGCATAAACAGAAACAAAAAAGAGCGAGACGCGAGTTCTTTTTTATAGGAAAAGAATGGAAAAGAATCGCAATGGAATGGAAAAGAACGTAAGGTTTAGTCAACAAAATTAACAAACATTACACATGGTTATACCCTGCTCTCACACACACACAGTAGCCTGTATTACTCACATATCCTGTGATAGCACAAAGAAATCATTATATTAACGATGATCCAGTGTTTAACCAGTGCTGTTTTTGAGATGCAGTTACACTAAATCCGTTTTATGTTTTCCATTAACATCCGTTTTAAGTAGCGTATTCCATGCCACCCCAATAAAATCACTGGCTCTTAACTGGCCACCCCTAGAAAAAAGTTCTGGCTACGCCCCTGCATCTGGGTAAGGGCAACATGCTTGTTTCTCAAGGCTTTCCGGTTATTGTTAGGAACATTCTTGTTGCTTAAGCTCATTCTGGTAACTGCATTTAAAGGAGCATGTTGCTCTTCTCCACTGCTTGTAACAGAAGAGCACTCTTTTCTGCTACTCTCCTCCTGTAAGGGACATACTGCCCCCAGTCTCTGCTATTCAGGGGGACATGCTGCTCCTTTCCGATATGACCCAAAAGCAGAGAGATGCTCAATACAATCTTTATTAATTAAGCTCAAATAACTGGCAATGAACCATAGCGAAAAAAATTAATAGCTGATGGCTGTCATGTCGACAAGGGCTTCATAGGTTATTATCTAGGGAGGTTGACATTCATGTTGATAATTTAGAGGGCTTCGAAAATTGCATATCAAATATGATACAGTACAGTAGGCTTTAACTTGGATTATTTCCAGGTTTAAAAAGAATACAATAACGTATTTTCACTGTTTTCCTCTGACTTTTGGACACTCAGGAGCTGCTGTCTGCTCAGTTACATCATCCATACCCCTCTCTTGTGTCCAGGTTATGAAATGCTCAAGCTTTGTCTGGGTGGAGATTAGATATCCCTCTTTACTACAACTCTGTTCTCTTGCAGAGGAGGATCGCATCCGACAGCCTTGGGAAATGGTGAAGGAAGAGCAGCCCTCGTCTATCTCTGTGGTGAGTTTAAGGAACATTACCTTCATATTTCTAATTTCTGCTCCTTTAAATAATGAAAATCAGATTTAAGGGATTATTTGTATTAGTTTGTTAATTATGTAAAAGCTGGTCTTTGAATCTCTGAACTTTAAGGCCTGGTTTCACAGACAGGGTTTAGATTAAACCAGGATTAGGCCTTAGTTCAATTAGGGCATTTAAGTAGCTTTTATAAACATGCCTTAAAAAAAACATTACTGGATTACTTGAGACAAAACAAAAACAAGTTGCTTTCAGTTAAAACAACTCCAACATGCATTTTAGTTCAGGACTAGCTTAAGCCTCGTCTGTGAAACCAAGGGTAATGTTTGTGAAATTGCAGATGTCTTTCAATATGGTTTTCAGAATTACAGAATACAAGAAATGAAGGGGTTACATTTATGTGTGTATTTTGCAGATAATCTAATGGCAGACCAAAGAATGGACATCTCCTCCACAATGAATGAGTTCATGTCTCCCAGTTCCACTGACCTGATCAGCAGCTCCATGGGAACGCCAGGCATGGACTACAGCCGCAAGAGGAAGGGCAGCATCACCGACTATCAGTAAGAGCGGTTCCTAACAGATCCTCTCAAGTCAAGTCAAGTCAAGTCATCTTCATTTATATAGCGCTTTTAACAATGGAGATTGTTTCAAAGCAGCTTTACAGAGATAAACATACAATTTACCGTAACAGAGATTGTTTTGGCTTTATAGCGATTTTGAATAATGTTATTTCCGGCTAAAGTTGGTTTTGATTGATTCACTTCCAGCAAAATGATCATTTGTTATTACATTAGGGGCCACTAAGACGACGGCGTTCTCTCTAAACAGACTTTAAACGCGAACCTGTGACCGGATGGCGTTCACATGCGCATTAAAAATTGATTCTATAGTTATATTCGTTTGAATATGTGTGCGCAGGTTTGTAATTTCCCTACCAACCATGCCTAAACAAACTACTTGTCTTGCCTATAAATTTGATACAGAATTTTATTTTATCACTTCGGGGTACGCAAACCGGATTTTCAACAACGCTCTAACTTTGTTTCATGATGAGATAAGACCCAATGTTTAGTTCATTCAGGGCATTCAACTTTAAAATATGGTAAAAAACTAAGGGCCAGATTTACTAACAGCTTGCGCCAGCGCAAACCTTCTTTTGGTGTTAAAAACTACTCTCAGGATCTACTAAATACACACAGTGAAAAATTAGCGCTGAAAAGGCATGGCCACAGTAAGGCGTGGACAAAGAAAGTTATACAGATTTGAAACACGAGGGAGTAAATGATGACATAGTTTTCATTTTTGGGTGGACTATTCCTTTAATATGAGATTATATGAAATTGATTTTGTCTATTTTTTTCTTTTCACAGAATCGATGGTTTTTCTTTTGAGTGAGTATCAAAACATCCAAATGATTTTCATTTTACAATAGTATAAAATGTGAATAAGAATGTTTATTTTATTCCATTACAAAAAGCTATAACCATGGGATACCATGGTGCATGAACAGTATAAAACACTACCATGATATATAACATATTACCATGCTATCATGACTGAAACATCACTAAACCATGGTACTGTCAGAGTAACTTTTTGTAAATGTTTGTGCCTCTCTTTGAGAACAGGCACATCATTCATCTGATTAAATAAAGAAAGAAAATTGTATCAATTCACCCGTTTGATTTTGAGAAAAATACCAATTTTATCCTCTTAGATCTGAGGCTTCATGGATGAGATTCCTTATCCCAAACTCACAGCTCACACAATACCCTGAGAGTGAACGGTCAGTGAGTATGGATGAAGAGATGCTAACTAGTCAAGCTGTCCAGTCTGTACTTATTTTAAAGCTGCCGTCGGCAACATTTTTTTTATCATATTCAGTGAAATCGACACTATAATCCGACAGAACAACATAAATAAAGTGGTTTTAGAAAAAAACCCGAGCTTCTAACTCCACCTGGAGCGTGTTATTTGTTTTGCAAAAATCCACAGCTCTCGGATCATCGGGTCCAATCAGCGCAGGGGGGTGTGAGATCTGACTGTCAATCACAGATCGGGCACACGCCACCCCTCGCGCACGTTACAATCACATGCACACGCCGGAAGTTCGCGCAGTAATGAAGAGTGATGGCGGATGTATCTCGCTTTCAAAACACTAACATATCAAGTAAGCTCATTTAGAGTATAAATGACGTTAGCAATTGCAATCTATCGGTAGATTAGCCAGGACAGCATACCTCCAAATACTCCATGGTGTTGATGGATGCTGATGAGACGGGCGCGTTCACAGATAACCTGGTGCACACGCACTGACGAGCACGAACTCGGTGGGAGGGTATTCGTTGATAGTGGGGGAGGGGCATGAGAGTTGTAAACATTCAAAATTTTGCCTAAGTCCACTCAATCTGCCAGACTTGCCGACTGCAGCTTTAAGACAAATGTAGTCACCTTTGACCAAATTCTCACTTCACGCAGAGAGATGAGAGATTTTTCAAGGGTTCAAATTGTGACCATGTTAACTATGTGTGTAGTCTGGTTCTCTTGGTTCTTTTGGTCCGGACCAAAAAAAAGATTATACGTTTAGTCCTGGTTCACTTGCTGTTTACACTGCCATTTTTAACACTGAGCATTAAGATACAAAACAAAAACAAAAAACGGCTTTTGTGACATATTTTTCTGATGGAACTTACCGAACATCCAAAACAATGCTGCTGGAATAAAAGTGCTTATTATTGGCACATTATGTATGTGCGAACAAATGATGGTATTTTTACCAGCTGAGAACTCACAAAGAGCTTATTAAATGTGTAAAGGAGTCAAAACAGCGGCAGGAATTCCTCCGTCACACACACAAACGATGAACTGCTGCGAGGAGACGGCGATTCCAACGCCTGTACTGAACTTTAATGGGCAACATAACGATTATGATGAGAAGATCCAGGTATTCTTGAGCATTCTGTCCTTTTAGGGTCACATCTTGAGACATCATGTCCTGTTTTTTGTTCGTTTAGATGTCTTTGCTCTGTGCTGCATTCATATTTCAGTCGAACCGCACCAGTCGAACCGTTCGTTTGGAAGCGGACTGAGGCCCAACGTTTGGTGTGCACCAGGGTTTGGGCGACAGCGTTCACACTTATTTTATCCACACTAAAAGAGCAATGGACCGTTCGCAAAGACCCGCCCCCCTTAGTTACTGTTGCTATGTCCGACAAGCTACGCTGCTCTCACACACACCATGTTCTCACGCAGTGAAAAATACATCGCGGACTGACAACACGCTGACAGACAGGACAGACCAGGTTACTTTTCGGTTACTTTTCATATTAAACATATTAAACAAAGTCTCCCCTTTCAAATTTGGTAATTTTTTTAAAAGAAATTTAAACAGTAAAAACCGCTTTGTGGCTCTTTAATACGGAGCCCCCCTAGTTCCACTTTGTCAAAAAAAATTATTATAACTATCTCGTGGCCTCAAGATAAGTAACTCGTGGCCTCAAGAAAGTATCTCGTGGCCTCAAGATAGTATCTCGTCAATTTGACAAAGTGGGACTAGGGGGGCTCCGTACTTTAATGTGTCGTGACAGATCGCTGTAGACCATCAGTTAAAGCTGCTCGTGATCCGATCATCTCTTCCTTCTAGTTCATTTATAGCATCAAATAAACATGAATGGACATAAGAAGGAATGTTGTTTTAACCGGAGAAAGGCATCAGTACATTCCGTTTTTCAAGTTCAAATCCTCCCATGTTAATCTACTAACTCTCCTGACTGCTTTGTCGGACAAAATGGTGGATGGCGAAGTATGATTGGTCAGATCACCTGTCAATCAAGCATCAGAGTTCGTTTTAATCGAACCAAACCTGCCAAGTGTTAACACAGCCTATAAAGTCACTATTAAACACCCACAACCATTGGGCTGGCATTCCATCTTTTACAAATAAACTATCAGACTCAATTACACAATTAGGGGCAAATTCACTAAACAGTATTTCTGCACAAAACCTGCGTCTTATTCTCCCAGCACCCACAATCCACTTTAACTGGGTGGTACCTGTGTGCTGGATTAAAGTCTCATCTTTGATCACCAAAAACTCATCGTTGATCACCAAAATGGCATATTTAAACGCTTTTTTTCTGTGAAATTGATTCATGCCTTAAAATAGCTTGAATGTAACTTGCTTCATTGATGCCGCATTCCAGGCAACCTGTAACCTGTGTTTTTCCAACTCGTAACTGGGAGTACATCGTTCCAGGCAACCTGTAACCTGTGTTTTTCCAACTCGTAACTGGGAGTACATCGTTCCAGGCAACCTGTAACCCGTGTTTTTCCAACCTTACACCCGTGAAAGTGCACTGGAACGGCAGTCAAACCCGTGACTTCCCATCCGTGAACTCGTACTAGATCGATGTACTCCCAGTTACGAGTTGGAAAAACACGGGTTACGGGTTGCCTGGAACGCGGCATTAGTATACGCAAAACCATGAATATGCAAATGAGCCCCGCCTCCGCTCACTCATACAGGGTCGTCTACAAGTCGATGTATCGGAATGGTAATGCGTTCTATGTATCGCTTTCTACAACATCGGACACATGCCGGTAATTAATTATCTTTGGCTTGATTACGTTATCAAACAGCTAATGTTGTGTTGCTAATGTTACACAAACCATGTTCCTGTTCGCCATCTTGAGTCAGACCGCTGCCTTCTAAAAATCAGCATCCTTAGAAACGCTTTGGACAACTTAGATTGTCAGTGGAGAAAGGCATATGGTTCATCATAACATCGTAATATACATCATATACATAATTCACCCGCTATATTGCCATATTAAAAACTTGATTTTCACCACAGGCCAGGTACTGATACAGTATTTGTGCCGTTACCTCATTTGCATTTATTGTTTTTGTTAATCAGGTGCTCAAACTACGCAACAGCGTGTTCACGTTAACAACACTATTAGCACAATTTACAGTCACAATTCATTTTTAGTGGTAAGAATCATCCTTTTAATAACTGTTTCAGTGTCTAAATATCATGCAAAATAGCAGTTATTTTATGCAGCTGAGAGTTTGATGTACGTTTTTTTTAAATAACATGTAATGCAGAGTTTCCCACTGAAGGGTTTGTAAACAACAAGAGGTTTTATTTTAATAAAACTGGCATGTACTTATAAAAAGTATGAAATTAGATATTTGAATTGTTTGCAAACAAGAACAGATGCATTAAATTTATTGATGCAGTATGTGGCTTAAAATCGTAGGCGTTACTTTAAGTAAATAATTGAGGTCATAGGGGTTCAGGTAACTAAAAAGTTACATAACCAACAGAAAAAAAAAACTGCAGTAGATGTTATCACAGTGTCAAGCCCTCAGGTAAACAGCGTGTAATGTTTCTCATTCTTGTCAGTTATGAAACCAAGCATTATGAAACAACCAAGCTGGAGTTGATGGTGCGCGGAATGGGAGTTATATCATATCAAGTCATAGTATATTGTTTCTGGTACCATATTGTGGGATCCTTGTAATTACATTTCATGATGGGAAATTAATAAGATATGCCCATGACCTAATCATTTATGAACTACACTCACCGGCCACTTTATTAGGTACACCTGTCCAACTGCTCATTAACACTTAATTTCTAAGCAGCCAATCACATGGCGGCAACTCAGTGCATTTAGGCATGTAGACATGGTCAAGACAATCTCCTGCAGTTCAAACCGAGCATCAGTATGGGGAAGAAAGTTGATTTGAGTGACTTTGAACGTGGCATGATTGTTGGTGCCAGAAGGGCTGGTCTGAGTATTTCAGAAACTGCTAATCTACTGGGATTTTCACGCACAACCATCTCTAGGGTTTACAGAGAATGGTCCGAAAAAGAAAAAACATCCAGTGAGCGGCAGTTCTGTGGGCGGAAATGCCTTGTTGATGCCAGAGGTCAGAGGAGAATGGCCAGACTGGTTCGAGCTGATAGAAGGGCAACAGTGACTGAAATAACCACTCGTTACAACCGAGGTATGCAGCAAAGCATTTGTGAAGCCACAACACGCACAACCTTGAGGCGGATGGGCTACAACAGCAGAAGACTCCACCGGGTACCACTCATCTCCACTACAAATAGGAAAAAGAGGCTACAATTTGCAAGAGCTCACCAAAATTGAACAGTTGAAGACTGGAAAAATGTTGCCTGGTCTGATGAGTCTCGATTTCTGTTGAGACATTCAGATGTTAGAGTCAGAATTTGGCGTAAACAGAATGAGAACATGGAACCATCATGCCTTGTTACCACTGTGCAGGCTGGTGGTGGTGGTGTAATGGTGTGGGGGATGTTTTCCTGGCACACTTTAGGCCCCTTAGTGCCAATTGGGCATCGTTTAAATGCCACGGCCTACCTGAGCATTGTTTCTGACCATGTCCATCCCTTTATGGCCACCATGTACCCATCCTCTGATGGCTACTTCCACCATGTCACAAAGCTCTAATCATTTCAAATTGGTTTCTTGAACATGACAATGAGTTCACTGTACTAAAATGGCCTCCACAGTCACCAGATCTCAACCCAATAGAGCATCTTTGGGATGTGGTGGAACGGGAGATTCGCATCATGGATGTGCAGCCGACAAATCTGCGGCAACTGTGTGATGCCATCATGTCAATATGGACCAAACTCCCTGAGGAATGCTTCCAGCACCTTGTTGAATCTATGCCACGAAGAATTGAGGCAGTTCTGAAGGCAAAAGGGGGTCCAACCCGTTACTAGCATGGGGTACCTAATAAAGTGGCCGGTGAGTGTATATTGACAATTAACAAGGAAGTGAAAAACGACTTAGTTTTAAAGATTACTTTTCAGAAATATTAGGTTTTGAGAAATATGTTTAACTAAATATAAACATATATGTGAATTTCATGCATTTTAATCCCAGGTACTTTATATTGGTTGACTCCTGAACTATTTAAGCTAATGTATTTGTTTACTGTTTATTTGTTAGGGACAGAATGGATGCAGACAATGACAAACAACTTGAAAGGTAAGCTGAATTATTGATCAAGAGATATATATATATATATATATATATATCTCATATATACACAGTATGGTCTAAATGTCTGATATATACAGTTCAGTCATGAAACTCTAGATGGCACAGGCTGATAGGTCCTTTACATGTAATCTGCAAGCATTCACATCATTTACTGCATGGCCATAGGTGGAGTGTGTGTAAGGCTAGGCAAAGCTTAGCTTTCCCCTGGCCACAAATTTGAGACTAGCGTGGACTTTCCTCCCTCAAACCAATGCCTGCTGCTGCCTCTGACTGCTTTTAGAGGGAAATGCTGCTCATAACTGCTGGTCTACGATCAGTTTTCTCCATAATAATAGCATATTGGCGAAACAGATGTGGCAAGCAATCCAGTGTGTGTCTGTCTTTCACTTTGGAGAACGTAAAAGGTTTCTATTTACAACATGTTTTTGCAGCGTTGAGCAATGTAGCCAATCACAAAAATATCTGTTGATTTCTTGACCGCAATGGCCAATCAGAGGTGTTTAAGTTAAGTGCTTTTCTGTTCAAATGAACAGTGGTTTGTGAACGTAGATGCTTTAATAACAAATAATTGTAGTTTGTGACACGTAACTTGAAACTATTTAATGGAAATCTATTTAAATGTGTTTTAAAGGGGAAGCGCATCTCCTTATCTTTGTCCAGGAGTTGGTTCACCCTCCTATGTACCTGGCACAAGCTTATTGGCCTCTGCTGATTCTTCAGCCAATAGGTTGCTTGCTCAACATTTAAATAGTCTGGTTCAGTGTTTGCTGTAGGCTAGACCAGAGTTGCTCTGAAACTCCTTCACCTCCTTCAGCTCCACCTGCCTAGATCTGCTACAGGATTGTGTCTGTGTATCTATTAGCAGGAGCAAGTCCATTCAGAAGCAGCAATAATCAACAGCAGCAGTGTAGCAGATAAAGTCTGCCAAGACAAAATACATTAACATTGCCATATTCAATAACACGTGAAAACTATTTCAAGAGTTGTCATGATTGAATCACATACATACCTGTATGTGTATATTAGGGGTGTAACGATACACGTATTCGTATCATATTGAACCGTTCGGTACGAGGCTTTCGGTTCAGTTTTCGGTATGCATTTTTGAACCGAACGGTTCATTTTTCCTGCCGACCAAAATTTCGTTATTTCAAATGTAGGCGCGTCACGCGTGGCAAGCGCGCTCATAATGTCAGAGACGCTGGCGTGACCACAACATTGCCCAACATCAAATGGCAAATGTAATGTAAGCGGAACGAAAGCACTCGTTATTGTGTGTTTGACGGACCGTTTATCAGTTTGGACCAATGCAGCGCGAGCCGATCTAATCATCAGCACTGTTACTACACAGCGAAATCCAGTAAAGAAAGCATTTAAATTCGCCACTGAAGTAATGACATCGCTGCGAGATCTAGTGAGAAATATTCGATCAAACAGCGCTGACGTGGAAACCAGGAAGAGACATTGTGCCATGAATGAACTATCCAGTGTCCACAGATCAGCAACATTCACTGTGGATTTACTGTAGTAACACTACTAACTGTAACCATGGAAGTTTGGCAGGAATAGTAGGCTAATGCTTTCAAGTAACATCACGTCGGTTTTATTTTGACATTATGAATACAATTGCTGCCCTCAAATGTTAATCGGAACTAAAATAAACCTTTGTTTATAACTACTACAATATTACAATTCATTTTGTCCAAGGAGCTGTTTTGTTTTATAAGCTCCTAAGAAAAGTCAAGTATAGCTCCAACATTGCTCAAAGTTAAAAAATATCATACTTTATGATGTTAGTTTTAATAAAAATATAATTAAAAAAATTAAATCAAGGAAATTTCTTTCTTTTCGCTGTATCGGAAACGTACCGAATCGTACCGAACCGAACCGTGACACAAGTGTATCGTATCGAACCGAACCGTGAATTTTGTGAACCGTTACACCCCTAATATATATATATATGGTTCATCTGTAAGTGGTGTTTATATTTAGCCTACATGATTGATTAATTTCCCAGATTAAATTTTTTTTTTCTCAACAGGGTCGATCTGCAGATTAAGAATGCAAGGTGCTGTAAATCAGAGCATTTCTGTATTTAAAAAAAAATTATTATTAGAATATGCCATTTTTTCCAATTGTAACATTGGTTTGGACTCTTGGTTGTCAACAGGGAGGCTCACAGTCAGATAGAGAAGAGACGCAGAGACAAGATGAACAGCTTTATTGATGAGCTGGCTTCATTAGTGCCTACCTGCAACGCCATGTCCCGCAAACTGGATAAACTCACTGTGCTGCGCATGGCAGTCCAGCATATGAAAACACTTCGAGGTGAGGTTCACACTGTCATTCCCATAGAGCCATTATGGCCTGGCTGGGACTTTAAATGTAATCTTAAATCTAGACATGTACATTCAAGTAGATTTGTAGCCGAGTACAGTAACATAAAAGTGATTTCAAAAGTGAAAATATAAGTTAAAAAGAAAGAGTATGACATTGACATTCAATTTATGTTTTATTCACAAACATTATATCACCAATAATGGTTTCAAAACAAACTGAGTGAAATGAACAGTATGCATTAAATGGATATTATTATGCAAAGTTGTTTTACAATGTAAAATAACTTCATTATATGATGTGTTTTATTATATCTGATATTTTTTATACATTTACATTTACATTTAGTCATTTAGCAGACGCTTTTATCCAAAGCGACTTACAACTGAGGACTAAACCAAGCGAGTCATCGTGAAGAGGCAAAAGCAACGCAAGAAGTGCTCAAAATACAAAGTTCAGCCATAGCTCGGAGTAGCATAAGGCAGGCAAGCGAGGATTTAGAGGAAAGGATTTTTTTTTTTTTTTTTTTTTTTAAGTTAAGTGCTCCCGGAAGAGATGAGTTTTCAGTTGTCACAGTTGTGTATAATTATTCACATTCATTGGTGAATAATTATACAATTATTACAATATTCATATAAATACTACTTTTGCGACACAGTACTTTTGTGAAAGAATACAAAAGTTTCAAGAAAGAACGCAAAGTTTGTCTGGGCCCAGGGGTTACCCAAATGTTTTGCAATTGAACGCAAGTGTCTCATACTCTTACAAGTACTAATCGATTACTCATGCATTTGCTGTCTTTTTAAGGTGCTGCAAACCCTTATACTGAAGCTAACTACAAGCCAGGCTTTTTATCAGACGATGAGCTGAAGCACTTAATATTAAAGGTAGGTGACCTAAAGAATTGTGTCTTTTTGTGTTATACTGACTGATAATCCCTGGCTGTGATTCATTGGTGATTCACTCTGGTTCTCAGGCGGCTGATGGTTTTCTATTCGTTGTGGGCTGTGATCGGGGAAAGATCCTTTTTGTGTCCGAGTCTGTCTACAAAATTCTAAATTACAGTCAGGTAAGGCCTACTAATGCTTCAAAACATCCACGATATGACTCAGAAGTCAGCGTGTGACTCATATTGCCTGCTGCTCTCTCCCCGTCTTACAGAATGACCTGATTGGCCAGAGTTTGTTTGATTATTTGCATCCAAAAGACATTGCAAAAGTCAAAGAGCAGCTCTCGTCATCTGACACAGCACCACGGGAGAGACTCATTGATGCTAAAAGTAAGTTAGTACTTGCTGCTATATGCCTTAAATACAGCATTATGCAAGCAAACAGTAAACTCGAGGACTTTTAAAATCAGAACAGATTTGAAAACACTAGCCAGCATACATTTTTTGGTATCATACATATGCCGACTTTGCAAATGGTTACACTACACACACTCAAGTTACAAGCACTACACAATTTTATGGTATTTCTGATTATTTGGGTAGCTTCTGACTACCCAAAATCTGCAGACTGGCTCTGACTTTCAGCAAAAATCTGTTCGGTATTTTACACTTAAAGCCCTGTTTTAAGATCGTTTCTGATGAAATAGAACGGTTAAGATTCAAATTTGGACACATGCTGCTGGCCCGAGAATTTTTTGGTTTCTGTGGTAGCACCCCCCCCCCACCTCCACAATGGTTGCATAGGTGCACTAAAACGCATTAAACTTTAGTTTACAAAGACGTAAAACTCACCGAGTGGTCAGGGGTGTTCACTGATAAGCTCACACAAAAGATGCTTTCCAATAGGTTTTATCGTAGTTTTTGTCCAACTCCTTTGACTTGTATTGGATGTGCTGTGAGGTAGGGTATTACTCCGCCGCTGGAAACGGAAATGGGTTTGTTTGTATTCTTCTGCTTCTTCTGTGTATTCAATGAAATGCCAGTGGTTTGCTTGTAATTGGCAAAGGTGCATTATCGCCACCAACTGGGCTGGAGTGTCTATTATTCAAGCTCTCAACGGAAGAATGTACGGGTGTGAGGCGTTTGGAAAAATAGGTCCACAGTTTTACAACGAATGGTAAAACACCTGTTGGAAAGCATCTTTTGCAGTGATTTTTGTGAGCTTATCAGTGAACACCCCTGACCACTCGGTGAGTTTCACGTCTTTGTAAACTAAAGTTTAATGCGTTTTAGGAAGGATTGTTCCAGTGCACCTATGCAACCATTGTAGATGTGGGGGAGGTGCAATCACAGAAACTGAAATTTCTCGGGCCAGCAGCATGTGTCCAAATTTCAATCTTAACCATTCTATTTCATCAGAAACGATCTTAAAACAGGGCTTTAAGTGTAAAATACCGAACTTGTCCTTTAACTACATACATTTCACCAGTTTTACCAGTTTTAAAAATGATCTGACAGAGCATTATCTTCTCAGCCGGGCTGCGAGTCAGGACAGACATTGCCCCTAGTCCCTCCAGATTGTGCTCAGGGTCCAGACGCTCCTTCTTCTGCAGAATGAAGTGCAACAGGTCCCTCGTCAAAATGGAGGAAAAAGATTTCCCCTCGACTTGCTCCAAAAAGAATGGTGAATCAGTTCTTTCACTTACTTAGAATATTGTTAAATATTCAAAGACAACGATTCCTCATCATAACTTTTGCTTTTGTTCTCCCTGTAGCCGATCGCAAGAGCTTCTGCACCATCCACAGCACTGGCTATCTCAAGAGCTGGCCGCCCATTAATATGGGCTTAGATGAAGACAATGAGCCTGATAATGAAGGCTGTAATCTCAGCTGCTTAGTGGCCATTGGCCGATTACATCCTCATATTGTCCCACAACCTATGAATGGAGACATCCGGGTGAAGCCGACAGAGTATGTCTCGCGCCATGCCATTGATGGGAAGTTTGTTTTTGTGGACCAAAGGCAAGTGGTGACTACTGGGTGCCCGAACATGAAATACGGTTGCAGTTTAAAGGTGTGGTCGCATTTACCGTTGCTCGGAGCAAAATCCAAATCTGTGCAATGAAGAATTTTGCCTGATGAACTTCCAGTGGCGAAAAATTGCCATATGCGAATGTCGCACCAGTAAAACGTTGGGTGAACTTTTGCAGCGCCAACCAATAGCAAGCCTCTCGGTATGGCAGTGAAGGTAGAAACTACGGCACTAGTACGCTTCAATATTAAAAAAATGTCTATAAAGAGGCTGTTTGGAAAGCAGTTATTTAGGGTTGGTTCGTTTGCTAGCTGGCAGGACCGGCTTTGGATGGCCTGCTTTCTTTTGCAGAGCTGCAGTAAATGTGACCGCACCTTAACTAGGTGAAATAACCTTAAACAATGCCAATGCACTACAACATGTGACATGGCTTATATAATATGGTATACTTTTCCAGATTCTAAATAACATGAATGTAAAGGTCTGTTTACACCTCGTATTAAGATGTGTACGGTGTACTGGTGTTTTAATCCGACTCTTTTGTCCACTTTCAACCACTTCTGTCCTGATTTTTTTCTAGGGGAGGGTCTATGGAAGGGTAAATGAATGGGCTTTTTCAGATCTTTTAATCTAATGGACAAAATAAGCTTGCGCAAGTTACATATGAACACGACTGAAGACGACGGTAAAACACACGGAGAACAGCAGCTTTAGTTTCTGCTCTGAAGCCGCGAGACCAGCCGAACGCTGTGAGTGTGTGTTAGAAATCAGGAATGAAGAGAGAACATTGTGCTTGGTACGTTTTCGTCTCCAGACCAAACTTGGGTCTCCAGTCAACAAAGTTTAAATCCCCACTTGCTAGCGCACTTCCCATAATGTATTAAAGGGGTGATGAACTGAGAAATCAAATTTTCCTTGAGCTTTTGACATCTAAGAGGTCATCAAATTATAAGAATATCCTGTAAGTTTCAAAACTGAAAACGTCCTTGTTAGTCCAATAAAAGCTTTTATTGACACCAGGCTCAGCAAGCGACTCGTTTTTCAAAGTGGGGAACTATGACGACAAAGAGGATAAAACACCACCCCCGCAGAAGAAGATCAACGCCTACTTCAACACGGACGGTTTAGCCCCGCCCACCGATTCGCGCATTACATGAAACTCATTATAATATGCAAAACTGTTATCCACTCACAGCAGTGGGCGTTTACTTCCGAGTCTTCAATGCGAGACGCCCATAAAAACCGAGCGTTTTTGAGCTAGGCTCAAAACTAGGGTAGAAAATAGCCTATTACTTATTCATTTTGATGTTTTTGAATGTAAAAACCAAGCGAACGTCATAAGTTGACCTCAGACAACAATATAAAACAATTTAAAAAGCCAGTTCATGACCCCTTTAAGTCAGTAGACGGAGAGAAGACGGTCTTTTGTGGCTGTTTGAACACATTCGATCACATGAGTGTTTACACTACGAAAGCAATCCGGTCGAATGTGTTTTCCACTGCCTCTGGAAGTGGTTGAAAGTGAACAAGCTGAAAAAGCTTTAGATGCCGTTTACAGCTGTATTTAGCGTCGTCCACTTGCGATCAGATCGACCAAAAACGCACCATACCAGGTGTAAACAGGGCCTATGTTTAAGCAAACTATTAGGTCAAATGGATTATTGGTTGGGAGATGTTTGTTTTGTCTACTGATGGATAAACTGATTTGTGACCGTATGACCAATCCTGATGTTAGCGTGACAGTTTTGTTAGCGTGATTTGTTTTTTTGAGCACAATGCGGATCAATATCCAAATATAAAAATGGATAAATGACCCAGGTCATGACCTGGCTAGAGGCCGAAATGTAGGACACACACTGCACCTAAAAATACTGCACAATGCCTCTGTGACAACAGAACAGTTTGCCTTTTATACTGTATGTCAACTGCACTTGTAGAGACTTAAGGCGCAGGCGCAGGTATACTTCATTTTCTGCGTTTCGCTCCCTCTCACGCACAGTTGTATGATTGCTTTTTTATACTACCAGACATGAGACATCAGAGGGCAGCACTCATTTACAGGACATTTGTTCGGATGGATAGAAGAAAAGAAGCGGATCCCCCATTGCATGCAAAGTTTAGAACAAGAACCAAAACAATGGAGAAGGATATGCTGCTTTGTTAACCGAACAATGATTGGACGAATATTTTTATGGTCCTACTCCTTTCACAGACAATATACAGTATATATGTATATACATATTAATACATTTAGGCCACTTAACTTAGTTATTGCTATCAGGATGTGAAGAGACTTAAAGGGATAGTTCACTTTGAAATTAATTTTTGGTATGTTTTAGCTTACCTCAAGGGCATCCAAGATGTAGGTGTCTTTGTTTCCACAGTAGTTTCAATTTTGATATTTTTAGGTCAAACCGTTCTTGTCTGTCAGTCATATAATGCAGGTCTATGGTCACTTCCTCAAAGAGCATGCACAGAGAAGTCCAAATTAAACATGATTTAATGACTCGTAAATGTAAGTACACATTGATGGCCTACGACACGAAACGAGCGGTTTGTGTGAGAAAACGAACAGTATTTATATCATTTTTACCTCTTGTAACCACAGCCACGTCCAAGTGATCTGAGGGCGCGGGCGCTTCGGTCTGCGCGTTACAAGAGGTAAAAACGATATAAATACTGTTAGTTTTCTCACACAAACCGCTCGTTTCGTGTCTTAGGCCATCAATGTGTACTTACATTTACGAGTCATTAAATCATGTTTAATCTGGACTTCTCTGTGCATGCTCTTTGAGGTGGTGACCATAGACCTGCATTATATGACTGACAGACAAGAACGGTTTGACCTAAAAATATCAAAATTGAAACTTCTGCGGAAACAAAGACACCTACATCTTGGATGCCCTTGAGGTAAGCTAAAACATATCAAAAATGTATTTCAAAGTGAACTATCCCTTTAACAAAAATTAAGTCAGCATAACAATAAAATGTTTCTGTAACAAATCGCCTACCCTGCCTTTAAGAAAGTGCAGAATATTGTGGAGTAGAAACATGTTTGCATGATATTATTAGTACAATAGTGGCTTGCAAGCACTGTAAAAACACTCGTGCTCCTCCGTGTATAAAAGATTCCCCTTTTCATTCCAGGGCCACGGCCATTCTTGCTTATCTACCTCAAGAGATGCTGGGCACGTCTTTCTATGAGTATTTCCATCAGGATGACATCGGACATCTCGCTGAATGCCATAGACAGGGTAACAACAGAGCGCTTTCCTGAGTGCAGCGTGACCAGACTCGTGTCATGATTTCTGATCTGTACGTCTCTGTTTGCAGTTCTGCAGATGAGAGAGAAGATCAACACTAACTGTTACAATTTCAAGATTAAAGATGGTTCTTTTATAACTTTAAGAAGTCGATGGTTCAGTTTCATGAACCCTTGGACCAAAGAAGTAGAATACATAGTCTCAACTAATACAGTTGTCTCGTAAGTAAACTAAATCTACTAATAATTCATGATATCAATGTTCTGACGGTTTGGTTTACTGACCTGAATGGATGTGTGTTTTGAAGGGGCAGTTCACTTGAGGGAGCAGAGCCTCACTATCCTCAGCTCACTGCTTCCCCTCAGAGTATGGACAGTGTCCTTACAGCCGGTGACGGTAAGCAGATCTCATTTACGCAGCAAATAAATGAGTGACTGTTAAACCATGGCATAACCCAGTGGTCAGGAACCTGCCGGTTGTCTCACCTTTCACCAGCATTTGATCATTAGTGTCCTGCCGATAACGCAAAATCAATCTACCGAAGGTAAAAAGTCAAAACTAAAAGTCAACTTATGATAATATTTCAAGTTTTTTGTGTATGCAGTGCTGTGCGCAACACCAATACATGGAAAACCACTTTCATTTATATAGCTAGCTTTAAAATGGCAACCGAATTTGATTCTCGAAATGTCAGCAACCGAACTCACACGCCCCCGGATCCTGTTCTCACGCAAGCCATGAATATCACCGGTAGCCATAGTAAAGTAAATATCAAAGAGGTCCATATAACTGGAAATTATTATCACAGTCGACAAGTCAATCAGAACGTTTAATAATATGAATGGGATTCTGGACAAAAAATTAAAAAAAAAAAAACATTATTTCATGACATTTAAAGCATTTTTCCTCTAAATTTGTATATACTTCATTTTTGGTAGCCTACTATATAAAAAAATTTCATTCAACAAAAACTACCTTCCACACTTTAAAAATCTGCTTTAAACATTAACCTTACATTACAGAAGGCCGCTGAGAATTGGGTGGGAAACAAATGCTGAATTGTCATGAAAATGTAAAAAATATATATATTTATATTTTTTAAAGCAAAAATGTTATACTTTTGGATGTTTCTTTACCGTTTTGTGAGATTCATCCTAAAAGGATTAATGGACTCTAATTAAACTAATACACTTAATCTGATGCATATGCACATTTGTCTATCATACATAAATGAAATAGGTAAAAAAAAAAAAAAAGCCTAGTTTATTATTAAGTATTTGCGTCTGTTTTATTTAAATAATCATATTTTCAAAATGCATTGCTTAGAGTCAGCATAAATGTATTCATTGTTAAAACAATTGTATTTAATCAGTTAAAATGCTAAAATATATCAAATAAAAGCTGTGGAACAAGCAACATTCAATTAGTTAATGTAATTGTATAGACTGAAACAAATGGGATTTATTGATTATAAATATATAAACCTAGTTATTGTATATTTAAAACACATTCAGTTTATCTTACCCGCTTCATTCACACATTAAGCTTATTCGTTTGTTAATGTTAAAACTGTAATCCAACTGGATGGAAATGTTATATGAAATTTAAATACGATTTTAAATGTGACTGTATGCACGATTGGTTGCAGTGCAGTGTATGGAAACAGAGAAAATTAAGCACAAAATTAAATCACAAGGAAATATCTCACAACAGGACAAAGTGTAAGAGAATATTGATATGATCCTCCTTTACACTAAAGAAATTATATATATATATATATACAGTAGTCAACATTTTAAGTGGATCAAAACCTTTCATCAAAGTTATACATGAATTTTGAACAATACCCGTTCTTGTCTTAGGACAACTTTGATGAACTTTTTTGATCCACTTCAAATGTTGACTACTATATATTGGGCATGGCGTGTCTATATATATGTATGACAAAAAGAGATTGCTAGTACCACAGTTTGCTAAAGAAGACTACAATGCTGGAATGTAGCATTGCACTTGGATTTTTACGGATATACGTCGGCAGTCGGTGTCTTGTCAACTGTTCTTCTGCAGGCTCAGTGAAGACTGTTCCCGGAATCCCTGGAAGAACGAGACCCGGAGCAGGAAAGATCGGACGCATGATCGCAGAGGAAGTGATGGAGATCCAAAGGTGAGCGGATCAGTTTTACGCCTAATCAGAGATGTATAAAGTACTAGAGACTTGAGTAAAAGTGCAAGTGCTCTATCAAAAAAGTGACTTGAGTAGAAGTTGAAGTGCTCTTTAAGCACCATACTTAAGTGGAAGTACTAAAGTATTCAAAAAAAATTGTACTTAAGTATTGCAAGTAGGTTTTTATTTTATTTACTACTCAAGTACTAAAAGTAAAAGTACAAGTATTGTATTATGTAGTAAAGCATCTCACCCTTCTCTTCCCTGCTTGTGCCTTTTTTCTCCACAGCTTATTGGGTATTTATATGCATGTTACAGCGATATCTGAAAGCTTTGTTTATGTCAGGGACTTCCTGGAATGTTACATATGGCTCTTCTTCACGTGTTCCATATATGGACTAAATGTGCACAGGGCGCCCTCAGGCTGCCAGTATGGATTGAAAATACAGTATATCAGATTATCCAAAACTCATAATAATTTCATCGGCCCATTTTGGGTATAAATCCAATAAATATTATTCCTCTCTATAGGGATCTGACGTAAACCTATGCAAATCTATCAATATTTGTCAAAAACTGCACAAGCTAAAAGCCCGAGGGACATTGTTTTGTCAAGCGCTTTCATGACGACTACACAGGATTTTTTTTTTTTTTTTTTATGGGAACGGCTGACGCTCATAATTCATATTAAAGGTATCGACTCATTTTTTCATTACATAACTCCTGACACAAATTAAGAAATAACTGTCACTATAAGTTTCTCAGAATAAAATAGTGGTCAAATACTGAAACTTGAGTCTTCTAGATTTTTAATAATGTGTAGTTTGTCAAGGTACTAACATTCAATCTAATAATAACTTTGAACTATTAAAAACAAAGAACTATTCAGTGCGCCGGCGTCCTCGCACATTCTATATGAATTGTCTTTCACTCCGACAAATGAAAACATGGACTCTATAGGGCCAGGGGTCTCCTTCCTCACCGCCACGATCACTCGAAGTTGAATGGTGTTTCTGGTTCTTCCATCTCGAAACAAACTAACAAATCTCAAGTGTTCTCAATGGAGGCAGGCAGCAGACTGAAAGGCAGAACAGGAGCACACGCAGTCTTCTTGATCGCTTGATTCCCTCAATGATGAGCCAGCTTCATTAAACCTGGTGACAGAGTCATCTACCGCTCTGGCAGTGATTATGTGGGTTTGGAATGATTAGTAACATCTGTATAATTGTAACGAGTAACTATGCAGTACATAAAAAATGTATCGGAGTAAAAGTATTAAACTCATCGAAAATATGTACTTAAAGGGATACTCCACTTTTTTTGGAAATAGGCTCATTTTACAACTCCCCCAGAGTTAAACTGTTGAGTTTTACCGTTTTTGAATCCATTCAGCCGATCTCCGGTTCTGGCGGTACCACTTTTAGCATAGCTTAGCATACATCATTGAAGTGGACAAGACCATTAGCATTTCTAAAAAAAAAAATGACCAAAGAGTTTCGATATTTTTCCTATTTAAAACTTGACTCTTCTGTAGTTACATCGTGCACTAAGACCGACGGAAAATGTAAAGTTGTGATTTTCTAGGCTGAGATGGCTAGGAACTATACTCTCATTCCTGCGTAATAATCAAGAAACTTTACTGCCGTACCATGAGTGCAGCAGGCGTAATGATATGACGCAGCGCCTGAAAATAGTTCCGTTGTGTTGACGGAAGGTGGCCTATTTTCAGGCGCTGCGTCATATCATTACGCCTGCTGCACTCATGGTACGGCAGTCTTTTTTTTTTTTTTTTTTAAATGCTAATGGTCTTGTCCACTTCAATGATGTATGCTAAGCTATGCTAAAAGTGGTACCGCCAGAACCGGAGATCGGCTGAATGGATTCAAAAACGGTAAAACTCAACAGTTTAACTCTGTTGGAGTTGTAAAATGAGCCTATTTCCAAAAAAAGTGGAGTATCCTTTTAAGTAAAAGTGGAAGTAGGACAAAAAAATAATACTCTAGTAGTAGAGTACAGATACAACCTTTTAGTACTTAAGTACAGTAGTGAAGTAGTTCTACTTCGTTACTATACATCTCTGCGTCTAATAATCTGCACTTGAGTCACACTCTTGATGACATTGCATCTGGTTTCATCTTTCATTGATATGATTGACAGGATAAGAGGCTCATCCCCGTCTAGTTGTGGCTCAAGCCCCCTCAACATCACCAACAGCACACCCCCTCCTGACACATCGTCCACTGCGGGCAGGAAGGTAACGTTTGGGCTTCAGTCTCTGACAAACATGTATAGGGATGTGTGATATTGACCAAATTAGTGTTGTCAAAAGTCGATACTGAAATTTAAAAAATGTGACACTTTGAGCGTAAACACCTCTGATTGGCCATTATCAGTGATGGGAATAACGGCATTATAAATAAACGGCGTTACTAACGGCGTTATCTTTTTCAGTAACGAGTAATCAAACGAATTACTGATTCCCCCGTTACAACGCAGTTACCGTTACTGACAAAAAAAATGTGGCGTTACTATAATTGAACTCACAGAAGCGGCTTTCATCCGAGTAGGCTCTCTCTCCGCCATAGGACCTGCAAAGTTTTTTTCTCTGGTGTGTGTGTGTTTATGTGGCGCCGGAGTGGACAAAAGCGAAGCGAACGGCGCGAGCGCGCTCAATGCGCGAGAGAGACCGAGTGCGTCCGTGAGCGCGCTCAACAGTTGCGCAAGAGAGCAACGTTAATTAATTTACATGGTTATCCAAATAAAATCTAAAAAATTACCTACAGGGAACGTTCTGTTTAGGTTATAAAATAAAACCCGAAAATAACCTGCAGGGAACATTTACAGAAAACATCTTTGTTTGATCGGTTGTAAACACGTGCGGGAAACATGTCTAGAATTTGGCTTAAATAACCTCTGATGATGACGTTCGCTATAGGTTATAAAAAAAAACCCCCAAAATATTATATTTTAGTATTATATATATATATATTTTTTTTTTTTTGTTGTAAATTGTTCAGTATTATATTGAGAGAGCACTTGTTAAACTGTTTACTTTTGTTAGGAAGAAAATACTTAGGCTACAGTATGTCTACTAGTTGTGAAGTTGTGTAACAGTTTTATCATTTTAATATGCACAAAGAGTATGTATATTTTTTATTATTATTTATTCATTTTTGGTACATTTCTTAAGAAGCATAATTTATTTTTAAACTTATTTGTTGGCCAGTTGGGGTCTGTGCGATATTAAGTATAAACCATCTATAATGTTTATATTGTTCTACTATAGTAATGCTAATATTTAGAATAATATATATATATTGAATTTAATAGGCGTCTCTCACATTGTCCCACAGCAACATTAAAATAGAATAAATTATTATTATAAAACATTGAACACTAATCTACACTATTAAGTGTCCATTTAATTAATTTAACATATTTAATACTGGGGGCATCCAAATTATTTGACATAGGCCTATTTAAATTTTTTTTTTTTTTTTTTAAGTAACGCAATAGTTACTTTCTCTGGTAATTAGTTACTTTTATAATGATGTAACTCAGTTACTAACTCAGTTACTATTTGTGAGAAGTAACTAGTAACTATAACTAGTTACTTTTTTTAAGTAACATGCTCAACACTGGCCATTATGCTCACATACTCATTAAATATGTCTGTGATTGGCTACAATGATCAGCGCTTAAACAACATGTTGTAAATAAACATCCATGACTCTATTCAGCGAGCGCTTACACAGACACACTCGGGAGTGTTTGAGAGCAGGCGTCTATCAGCGGATCGGTCCTGCTTGTGCTTTCAAAAACCTTTCAAACACTTCGGTGTGCTCTCGAACGCTCCCGTGCGTTGGTCATTGTAGCCAATCACAGACCTATCCGATGAGCTCGTGAACACAATGGCCAATCAGAGGTGTTAATGATTCCACTCAACAGTGCTCAAAGCGTCACATTTTTAAAATGTCAGTACTGACTTGGTACCGAAAGTCGGTACTTTTGACTACTCTAAAAATGATACATATCGCACAGCCCTAAAAGGTACAGAACGTTAATGCAATGTTAATGCATCTCCTGATTTATTTTTTTCCTAACTGCTCAGTTTTCAAATGCTGGAACTCCAGACATCCCTTCTGCCGGAATGATGTCAGGCCAGGACAGCATAGGATATCCTTACTCTGACAGCTCTGTTTTAAGTAAGTTTTAACCCTCTGGTACTCTTCGCGTTTCGGTCAAAAATGACAGAATTTTATTTTTTTTAATGAAATGAATGTACTATATTTTAGTTCGATAATGTTTTTTACTTAATATTTTGTATTTTTAGGGGATTTTATGGTACTAAATTATGTTTTCGCTGTATTTATAATCGATTTATTCACTTTTTGAGCATAGACCTGAAAATACAATTTCCAACTTAAACTCGTACATCTTGAATGCTTTAGAGCACAGACTTAAGTTTGATCTCTTTTCAAAGATAACACTTGGCAGATTATTGCTGAAGTGAAAAAAAAATGTAAAAAGGGAACGTTACAGAATTTTACGTGTATTGTTATGAGAAATACTATATTCAATTTTCATATAAAATATATATTTTCAAAAAACATGTTTTACTCTAAAACTGTGAGAAAACCAAAGCCATAAATCTAAACAAGTTGTGTTCAAAATTTGAGCCCGATATCTCAAAATCTCCCATTCATTTCCTATGTGGTCGTTTTTGACCGCGAGGAGTACAAGTGCGACTTTTTTTTTCAGGACCATTTAACCTGTTCGAATCATGTCCATGATTTTTTTGTGTGTTCACACAGCAAGTGCCAAAACCTTTACCAAGTTTCGTAAATCAAGAAATTTTTTTTAAAAACAAAACAAATGTACACTTTTTCAGTCAAAAATGACCGAAGAGCACCAGACTTACTTGATCATTGATTTGACACAACACTTCCTCTGATCCGCAGGTGATCATTCACACATTGGTATGGGTGACATCACGGACGAGCCCGGTTCCAGCAGTCCCAGTAGTGATGAGGCTGCGATGGCGATCATCATGAGCCTGCTGGAGGCGGACGCGGGCCTCGGGGGTCCAGTGGACTTCAGTGACTTACCCTGGCCGCTGTGAGAGTTCACCCATCACACTGTACCACCGGTCACACTGTATCCTGCAACATAACTCCATCCGGTTCACGTTCTGGAACTTCTGACCAGCCATGACTTTGACAATCAACACGTCTGGACAGTTTGTTGTTTTTTCTTGGTGACGTTATGTTTGTTTTTGTCTCAATGCCTCAGGTAGCTCCACCCATAGCAAAATCTCATTGGTCCACAATCCCATTCCACAGCTGTATATTCCAATGTGTCAAATCTTGTTACTACTTCACTTGCATTGAAGACAAACAATGGCTTCTCGCACCAGGTTGTGACGGTGTTAGATCGCTCATCCTACAACACACCATTATTAGTGGAAGGGTATTGTTTTAATGGACAGGATGGAGCACGTGTCAGTTCTACAAACAACAACCACAAATCCTGTTGGGCTTAGAGATGATTTCTATATGCAGCATTTCAGTTATTTTTTGTGTTTCTGCATATTTACTTATAAAAAAAAAAAAGTGTAACAGATGTATGTATTCTACCATTTTATCTGGATGTATATGATTTAAGTGAACAAAAGGGCAGTGACATTTTTTAAAATAAAAAGTATTTCTTTCTCTTTATGGAGCACAATCTTCATTTCATGTGAGAGTACACCATTCAGATAAAAAAAAAAAAAAAAAAAAAAAAAAAAATTTTTAGCACCAAATATTTTTGTTATAAAACATTGAATTAGAAATTGCGTTCTCTCTGTGTTTACAGTAAAACTCGTTTTTATCTGAATTCTAAGCATTTCTAAGCATTGCCAAACCTGATTGTGAAGTTTTGTGCAAAACAGTACAGGTAGTAAAACGGCTCATTTCGCCTTTGGCTAAGCCACACCCTAGAATGTAGATTGACCAATCACAGCGCAGCCAAGAACGAGCTCCCACAGTGGTCGAGATATATCCAGCTGCAGACCCGCAGCACCACCAGTTTCAGAACCCCAGCGCCAGAACCGGAAGTGAGGGAGGGGCGGAATTATTTACAATGACACAAGCATGTTTTTTTTTTGCAAGTATTTAAAAATATTTAAAATTGTTGCACCTTTTAAAGCTGCAGTCCGGAACTTTTCCTCTTTGTCGCCATCTCTCTGTTCGAAATCTGTAACTGCAGTGATTCGCGGAATTATTATCTTTACGTGGGTTGTAAATCGGCATGAAACAGCGCGGATGAACACAGTGCTTTGAGGCGAGTGCTGCTGTCTGTCACCGCGCTGTGTGGATACTGGCATACAGAATCACAGATTCACTTTTTGAAAGTTTGACCAACATAAGAATTTTCATAAGAAAATGTCTTCTGAACAAGTAAGTAAAATCCATTTTTGTTCTGACCAACTAAGGGGGAAAAAACATTCGACATGATAAGCTTCGTTAGATTTAATCAACGCGATTTACAGCAACCGTGCAAATTATAGCCTACTTTGTTCTCAAATTGTTCATGTTAACAACATCAGCATTGCGTGACTAATGTTAAATTTAATGTGTTTTATGGTTAGCAGCGTAGTTCAGAATTCATATTCTCCATAATAGCAAAACGAGAAAGGCACAACAAAGGAAACTCCATAACTGTGTGAATTAAGAAAACGTACTGTTACACGATTGAACTATTGAAATGTCTTACTTGTTCAGCAGAAAAAAGCCGTCTCTTCTTCCGTTTTGAACCCCTTCAAAACTCGGAGTTCACGCACTTTTCAAAAGCCCCGCCGATGTTTAAATCCTTGTGTTCGCATGAGACGGTTTCTTTCTCTTTCTCTAGCCACCTTAAATCCGAAGTACGAAGTCTTTTGGGTATTATAACTGCTGAATCTCCAGTTGACACTGATGATTGTTGTTTGGATCTTTCTGGATGCCATAAGTTTAATTATGTAAAGTGCTGCGAGAAAAGCCTATACATCTAAACATCTCGTCACGCGCAGTATAGCCGGCTAGCCGAAACTCCTTCTTTATGTGTACGGGTGTGACGTCATGACGCAAAGACATGCTCGAATTTCCCGCGGAAACCCACCAGTACCACTGGAGTTAAAATCATTATTACAAGCTAACCGTTTTGAATCTAGCTATGGCAAGCAGATAGTTTTGACCACTGGCAGAATAAGTTTTTTTTTAATATAATTATTTTGGATTATTTTTAACTTAAAAAAGTTACGGACTGGAGCTTTAAATAATATTTAGGGTATGTTTTTATTACACAGTGAGTCACTGCTCGTTGTATGAACTATAACTTTAGGTTACTTACGTAACCCCGGTTCTCTGATAACATGAGTGAGGTCTCTCACTATGGGAACGCCTCTGAGCGTGACAGATCTGGAAGTACCAATCACACCACGTCTGTCAGTTGACAGACCAATCACGACAGTGATGCGGGAGTCCCACCTCCCTCATATAAACCACTGCCAGTGGTCCCTACTTCATTCTCTGCATATCTCTTCTCCGTGCACTGCAAGGAGGGACGTGTGGTGAGATACCTCACTCATGTTATCAGAGAACCGGGGTTACGTAAGTAACCTAAAGTTCTCTTTCAAACATTCGCTCGGTATCTCACTATGGGATATAGACAACTCCCGTATTGCAGATATGCTTCCCTGAAGCAGGCATGTCAACCAACTCAGTGATGTATGCGACATAACACTCCATAATGAGTGAGTGTGTGTGTGTGTTTTTATTTTTTTTATTTTTTTATTTTTTTACACACTTAAGACGGAATGAGCCAGTGATGACTCAGTGACATCCATTCTATAAAATCGGACAAAAGTGTGAGGCGAAGCCCAGCTTGCTGCTGCACATATGTCCTGAACTGAAACGCCCTTAAACAGTGCCCATGAGGTAGCCAAACCTCTGGTAGAATGAGCCTTCAGCCCTTCCGGAGGACAGAGACCCATGCCATTATAACCTAATATAATAGCTTCCACTACCCAGTGGGACAGGCGCTGACGCGAAATAGGTTTCCCTTTATGAGAATCAGCCCATGAAACAAATAACTGATTACTCTTCCTTAGCTTTCGTTCTGTCCACATAATGACGCAACGCACGGACAGGGCACAAGCAATGAAGCCGCGCATCCTCTGACGAGGAAAAAGGCTGCGGATGGAAAGCCAGTAAATCCACCTGTTTACAGGCGAGAGCTGACTCGCTAACTTTAGGCACAAACGCTGGATTCGTTTTGAGAGTTACTCTCGAGTAATCCATAGCGAACTGCATACAAGAGTTATGAACCGATAGCGCATGAAGTTCACTAACCCGCTTTGCGGTCGAAAGAGCCAATAATAAAGCAGCCTTTAGCGAAAGGAGCTTTAATTCAACACTCTCTATTGGCTCAAAAGGGGGCTGAGATAGTGCGTTAAGGACCACAGACAGATCCCATGGCGGAATCAATGGCTTTGAAACCCTGTTCAAACGTCGCGCACCTCTCATAAACCTGCATACAAGCGGGTGTTGACCTATAGTGTTTCTGTCAACCCCCACATGACACGCAGAAATTGCGGCAAGATAAACCTTAACAGTTGAAAAGGCTCTGCCCTTATCCAAAAGTTCCTGCAGAAAACATAACACATCCGCCACAGAACAGAGAAAAGGAACAATGTGTTTTTGTGCGCACCATCGTTCAAACACAGTCCATTTCCGATCATATGCAGAGCGCGTCGAAGCCGCTCGTGCATTCTGAATTGTTTCAATCACACCCGGAGGCAAACCCGTCACTCTCAAGTTTAACCTCTCACGGGCCAGGCCCAAAGAGCCACTTTGTCTGGGGCTGGGTGAAAGATCTCCCCGCGCGCTTGTGAGAGAAGGTCCCTGCGCAACGGGAGAGGCCAAGGCTGGTCGCAAAGGAGTTGAATTATCTCCGCCAACCACAACTTCCCCAGCCAGTTCGGGGCAATCATTATGACTGAGTGACCGTACTCTCTTACCCTTCTTAAAGTTGGAAATATCAGACTTAGTGGCGGAAACGCGTACAGAAGTGCGTTTGGCCACGGGTGCGCTAGAGCATCCACACCCATAGGCGCACCGTCTCTCGCCAGAGAGAAGAATAGAGGACATTGAGTGTTTTCGTGCGAGGCGAAGAGATCTACGGCAGCCTGGCCGAACCTCTCCCACAACTGGCTCACTACCTGAGGGTGGAGAGTCCATTCTCCATACAGAGGATTTCCTCTGGACAGGAGATCCGCCCCCACATTCATTATTCCCGGGACATGGGTTGCCCGTAGTGAATGAAAATGCTTCACGCTCCACACGATAATTTTCTGTGCCAGACTGTGAAGCAGATGGGAACGTGTGCCTCCCTGGCGATTTATGTATGCCACCGCCGTTGTGTTGTCTGACCTGATCAAAATGTGGTGGTTCCTTAAGAACCGCACAAAATGTTTCAGTGCCAGAAAAACTGTTAACAGTTCCAGGAAGTTTATGTGTGCGTTTTATAGCGAGACGGGCCATTTCCCCTTCGCTATCCTGCCCTCGCACACTGCACCCCAACCTGTGAGCGACGCATCCGTTGTAACCACCTTTTATCAGAGAAACTGCTCCCAGCGTAGTCCCTGACTCAAGAAATGAGCGATCTCTCCACTGACGGAGAGCGCGCATGCAGCGTGACGTCACTATCACCTTGCGGTTGAGATGGCGTTTTGGACACAAACCCTGCGCCGCCTTCCAGTTCTGAAACTCCCTCATTCGCAACAGTCCCAGTGGAATGACAGAAACTGTCGAGGCCATCAGCCCTAGAAGACGTAAACAGAGTCTGAATGGAACTCTGTTTCCTTTCTGAAAAAGGGATAGACAGCCGCGAATTGACCTGATGCGCTCTTCGGACAGAAAAGCTTGATAAAGGTCAGAGTTCAGTCTGAGACCCAGGTAAATTATCTCTTGTGTAGGCACCAAGCAGCTTTTTGTTTCATTTATCTTGAAACCTAAGCTCTCCAAATGAGACACAAGCATTTGTGTCTCTCTCTCTGCCTGTTGCCATGACGGCGCGCACAGCAGCAGATCGTCCAAATATGCTGACACTCTTAGACCCATTATTCTCAGCGGTGTGAGCGCTGCTTCCACACATTTGCTGAAAACC